CAAAATGCGCAGGTGCTCACGGCCCTCGTACAGGGCAGCACGGTATTTTACGCGCCCTACGCACCCCTCTGTACACTCTAAACCTGCTCTGGATCACTCAGCATACCTGCTGCAGTGTAAATGCCACGTAAATGGTTGTCATGCGGTATTGCTTAGGGAATAAGGGCAGTGCAAATCTATTTTTTTTTCCCCAAATATTCTCGATCTAAGATTGGTTGAATCCAACCTCACGAATCTCCAGGGGTGGAAACAGCATCCTTTAGGGGAAGAAGACAAGGGCCTGGAGGAGGCCTGCGCTTGAATAAAAGGCATTTCAGGGTCCTTGTAAGAAGAATTACGTTGTGGAAAGGCAGACACACAGCGCTGACTTACAGTGGCGTGCTGGGTGGCAGCGTGGCAGTGGTGGTAAACCCGGCTGTTCAATTTCACTGAACACTAAAAGGTTCACCAGCGCTGGTGCAGGGCGTCAGATCGTTCTGAACTCAAGGCCCCTTTCCACCCTTTACTGGCTGTGTGACCTGGAACAAGTGAGCTAACCTCTCTGTGCCTCAGGTTTCTCATCTGTTAAAAACAAAGAGAGGAGCTAGAGACAATGATAGCATAACACGGCCTGGCATGGTTCTAATGAAGACCGCGAGAGCCGGTGCCCTGGGGGGATACAGTCAACCGGGGCGTTCAGCAACGCTAACCAAGCGTTGGCCGCTCATGCCAAGTTCAAGGTGAGAAGCTGAAGCTAGGATGGAGGGGAGGAAAGGGTTAAGGAGGATGTCGTTTTGAAGAGAAGCAGAAGGGGGGTCGTTTGGGGCGAGCTAGAAGGGGCAAAAGGACGGGTTGTTATTGACAAGGTGGAGACATGGGGGGGACAGACGGGCGCTCCTGGGCGCAGGTGGAGCAGATACCCAGCCTGAGAGGAGGAGGAGGAAGGGGAGGAGGAAGGGGAGGAGGGAGACTTCAGCATGGCAAGGTGGCAGCTAAGTTTAGCACCGGCGGGAGGGATCTGAATATGCATGCCGTGGCCCGCTGTGCCAAACGGTTCCATTTTTCAGTCTTTCCTCCCGGGCGTCGTGGACGGAGCAGCCGTGGGCAGGGATCGCTGCGCGGAGAGCGGCCCGCGCCTGGTCCTTCCGGGACAGGGCCCTGGCTTCCCCGGCTCTCTCTGGGGTTCAGCGAGGGCCTTTCTTCCCTTTGCTCAGCGAACCTCTGTGTTTAGGGACTGTGGATCGGCAGGAAGCTGAGCACTGATTCCTTTCTGACATCAAGGCCGCTGGGTCTTCCAGAAACGGAAGAGCGCCCGGGCTGGTCTCCTCCAGAGTCCCCGCGCCGCAGTCCCAGCGGCCCTGGCCTCCTCCTTGGCCTCCCGCCCCTCCGCATCCCTACCCGCCGCCCCCTGCCCTCCTCTTCCCCTCTGCTCCTCTTCCCCAGTTCGCTTTCTCTCTCTCCCACAAATCTATATTCAGTTTCTGTCTTCCAAAATGAAAAAGTGAGTAGGAGGACAAATTGTTTAAGAGCAACACAGCTATTTTAACAAAATGCTTTTTCCTTTGAGTCAGTCCTAAGAAATTTGAGTAAAATCGAAGCTGAAATGAAACAAAAAAAATAATCTTTGAGAAATTGAAATGAATTAGGAAAAAAAAAGTCTAAATTTCCCCAGGTTGGAGGGAGAAGTGGGAACAGGAAGGAAAAAAACAAAGGGGCCGTGAAAACTGTGTAGGGGAAAGGAAACTAGTCGAGGAGCTTGTGAGGAGACCGCAGAGACCGCAGGAAGGAACCGGCCTTTATTCGGGCATCTGGAGGCTGAGCCCACAGCATGGCGGACACCTGCCCGTCGGGCGCGTCTGGACAAGTGCCTGTTAAATATGGTCGTCCAGCTCTCAGCCTCTTGGACGTGGTCGCCTCCTAGTCAAGAAGGCCTTGTCCCTCTGCCTGAGAGTCCTGGAGCTGAAGCCTTCTCTGTTGGAAGGGGCAGAATGCGAGCCGCACTGCCTGCACCTGAATCTTGCCTCTGTAGCTGGCGGGTGTGAATCTACGCGCTTCGCTGAACGCGCAGAAAGTCCTCTTCCCTCGTCTGTAAGGTGGACGACAGTAAGATTGCTCACTCCACCTTTCCCCGCTCCCAGGTAAGGAGTATATCAGACTGTAACCGAATGAGAATGGACTCCTCACTCATTTTTTTTAAAAAATCACTTACACCCTTCAAAACTTGCAGTGCTACTGCTAAGGAGAGTCTGCTGCCACCCCCGACGGCCGGCTGCTGCCCTGATCCGGCTCCCTGTCACCTTTGGCTTGAGGAGGCTGAAGACCAGAGAGTCAGAACCCTCTCCCCGGCATGGCTCTCGGCAGGGAGAGCTGGAAGGGGAGGTTCTCTCTCACCCTGAGGCCTGCATCCAGAAGACACGATGGGGGGCTGCGGGGGGCCTTGAATCTTCCAACCAGCACCGCAGCCACGTCTCTGTCCACTCCCGTCCTCGCCTCTGGTCTCTGCTCTGCCCCCAGCCTCTTCCTCAGCGGCAGGAATGTGTTTTCATAGAAAACTGCTCTCGCCTTATCGCCCTCCTGAGAAAACGTGCAGCCTCAGAGAAGGTGAGTTCTTCCCACGGATCTGGTGTGATGGACCCAACCACAGGCCCAGGAGCAGGAGCAGGAAGGCAGGAGTCCATGCAGAGCCCAAACTGCTTCCTTTTACTTATCGGCAGAGTTTTATCTGAGAGCGGACAGTAGAAGAAAGCACCAGAAAGTCCCCCCACCACCACCCCCAGGCAGCAGGACCGGCGTCCCCGGGGCTTGGAAATGAGAAGGCCCCGGAACGTGTCAGGGTGAAGGGACTGCGGTGCGGCTGCTTGTGCCACAGCCTCGGGCTGCCGGCCGCTGCTCATTACTGCTGCCCGCAGGCTGGGGCACGGCTGTCGGGTCCAGCGGGCGGGAGGTCCAGGTTCCAGGGCACTGGAGGAGATAATTGTCTTTATAGCCAGGAGACTCTTGGCAAGGGGGCCAAGTGACAAACACTCCAAAGAGTCCAAGCGGATGTGGGTGAGGAAACCATATTGTCCTTCACTCTTGGCAAAGCGAGAGACATTTCAGAAGCAGCCTGCTACTGGAGCTGGGACACCGAGGGATGTGTGTGTGTGTGTGTGGGGGGGGACCTGGAACCTTGCCGGTTATGAGTGCTGTGACGGCTCCCAGGAACACTCAGAAAAATGATTCTTGCCCTGCCTGTTCCCTAGGACTCTCAGGAGAATACAATAAAATACTAGGTGTAAAACGCCTTTGAAGATGATCACGCCTCATTCATTCATTTTAATGGTAGACAGTGAGCGTCCAGCGGGTGCCAGGCACTGGGGAGGTGGTGCTAAGTGGACGTAGCACCTCGAGGTGTGCAAGTGGGGAGTCGCTCGGGAGCGCCCCCCAGAGGCCAAACCCCAGACCTCAGCCTGCCAGTTTAGCAGGAAATCCAATCTCTTTCCGAGATCTCCAGCGCTCTGCCTGGGATCCAAAAGGTCCGTCCACCTTCCTCTAGACTTGTGGTACGAACTGGAGCCCACGTGTGCTCCCTGGGGGCTATGATACGTCACAGCTGTCACCTAGAAGGAGCCTGCGCTGTGCCAAGTGACCTGGTGGGCTAGTTGGAACTGGGAAACACCAGACCGACTCTCAGCTTGCTACTGTTCTGCTGATGGTGGCTAGATCTCACCTCCAAGGCTGGTGCGATTTCTACCTGGGCTGCCGTGACTCTGTAAGGTGTGAGCGATAAAACAGCGGATGCTTGTTGAGTGATTCTGTGGTTTACGGGGGAGACATTATGCTGGGAAGTCATACTCGCTCAGGGCAGACTCCAGTGCGACGCCTCTCCTTCCCTGCACATTCTGGAGGGCACCGTAGTCCAGGTTTCACACAGTAATTCATTTAATTCTTAAGACAATCCTCAGGTATAAATGTTAGGGCTCCTTCCAGTTTACAGAGGCGGAAATAGGCGTACAGGAGTTACGTAGCCCTCCTGGGTCACAGCTAGTGAGCTGAAGAGCCAGGATTTGAGCCAGAGTTATTACCGTTAATCACCATGCTCTGCTTCCTCTAAGGAGGAAGAGAATTTGGCATGAGGTATATCACGGCAAAACAAAGCACACAGATCTTTAGGTGCGAGTTCAAGTCTTCCCCCGTGAGGGCTATGCCCACAGCTGCCCTTCGTTCTCTCAGTGCCGAGGCTCCCTGTCCTGTCTCCTGCCCCATCAGCATCAGATGGTGCTGTCACCCTCCCCTCCACCAGTACAGCCGGCTTTCCCTGGTGGGTTTCCACAGCTTCACATCTTGGTAGCTTTCTGTAGATTTGTCTTCTGCTCTCCAAGCTCTTCCAGACCTGCGCATCAACTGTCTCTCTTGCAAAAACAAAATCGAACCTCTTCCTCACCAGACTCTCAGCTGTGCACAAAAAATTAATCAATTACAGCTGAGATAAGAGCTGCAGCGAAGCAGCTCAGAGGACCGTGGCTTCGCTGCTGTTATCTGTGGAGACACTCCTCCGCTGTTCTCTGGGAAGGAAGGGCTGGTTGCCGGGGTGCACACTCATCCCCAGGAGCTTCAGGGCCTCCAGGCTCCCTGGAGTCCGTCCCTGTCTCTCTCCCTCTCCTTCTCTGTCTCTCCCCCTTCCCTCTGTCTCCTCCCCCTCCTTCTTTCTCCCCCCCTCCCTCTCTCTCCC